ATGGCCATCACAGCAAGAGGTCTGCAGCTGCTTGTGCCCACACAGGAGGCCCAAGTGAGACCTCCCCTTCTCCCCGTACCCCTCCAAAGCCCCACCACAACCTTACCTCGGCCTTGTGCTGCCTCCCCCGGGTCTGTATGGGAGCAGGAGAGCAGAGAAGGCATCCTCAGCATGGTGGGAGGATGCAAGCCCTTCGTGCCACTGCTCCGCCCTTCATCCCCAGAACTTCACTTCCTCCTTGCCTGGATGCTCATGTTCAAGGTAGTAAATGGATCCCTCCGGTTGGTGGCTCCTGCCTCTGTGGGACCTGTGGATGTGATGTGACCTGGTGGCTGGGGCAATGCTCAGGGCAGCACCAGGGGAAGGTGTTGCAGCCAGACACCCGCCACTGGTGGCAGTTCAGCCTGCTGGCTTTTTCTGTCTTTCAGTTTGCTCCTCACCCCTTCCTGTACTGTGGGTCTCACTCAACCTTTCTTCCTGTCAGCACAGGGCTGCTGCCTATGCAAATCGATGCAGCTATCTCCTGAAAAGCAGCAGCCCAGAAACTGCCCATATCTTGTCTGACCCCTGGGGTCTGTTTTGCTGGGGTGTTCTGTGCATGGCCACTTCCCAGGCACAGCCGCTTTCTCCAAAGAGATCCACACCATCAGGCTCAACAGTATCCAAATTACAACAGTTTACCTTGAATGGAAACAAGGAGCTCTCCTGGCCTGGGAGAGATGTGGGTTTTGCTTCATAACCCCCTCATAGCCAGTCCCATGGAAGAGGCTGGTGGTTGGTAGCTCTGCCCTTCACTGGGCTATGCATGGAAACATTTCCACAAGTAAATTCAAGTTGTACCTTGAAAGAGCAGAATAAAAGGCCGGGAGTAAACTTCTCTTCCTCCAAAGTCATTGTTCTGCCACTGCTGAATTCCTTGTCAAATTTATTTCTGAGGAGGTGGATCACATCACACAAAGGAGCACTCTATCCCGCCTGAGGAGCCAGAGCCACCACAGCATTGGGACCGGCGGGATCTCCCCTCTCCAGCTCCGCTCAGGCAAGTAGTGTTGATCAGTACTTTGCATTTTTGTTCTACAACCCCCTTAATCTGTAAATCCTAACCCAGGTTTTGCTGAAATTTAGGCAAATCCTATTGGTTCTGAGGTGCTGAGCTGAAGGCAGGTGGGCAGGGTGGCACAGGAGCACTGCGATCCATGGCACACAGCTCTGCTTTCCCTGAGTTCCGGGGCAGAGCAGCAGTGCCCAGGGAAGGGGGAAAAGCACATCCCATTGCAATAATGGGGTAGCACACACCACAGTGGGGATTGCTGCCTGCTTTACGCCCAGTGACTTGTTTGGTGGGCCAAAAGTGCCTGCTGCTGGGGTGGTTTGGGAGAGGTCGGAGTAAGCACAAGTCATGAAAACAGATGAAAATACCACATCCTGTTGGGAGACCTGCTCTGGTGGGGTCTGGTTATGTCTAGAAGGTAGCCCTAAGCTGCATCTAATTCTGTAATTACACATCTTTCCCTTCATCAGATCTAGCTGAGGGGGTGGTCTGTGGCTGATGGTGGAGATGAGATGATGGCAGATGAGATGATGGAGGTGGTGGAGATGGGGCAATGGCAGAGATGATCTAGTGGAAGGTGTCCCTGCCTGTGGCAGGGGATTGGAACTAGATGATCTTTCAGGTCCCTTCCAACCCAAACCAGTGTGTGATGGTAGAGATGAGATGGCAGTATAGGCGATGGCAGCTGATGGTGGAGAGCTGGTGTGGGTCGGGATGGGCTTCTGGCTAGACAGGCTGCAGCTGGTGACCTGTGTCTGGGGAGGAAAGCTGGGGCAAGCAGGAGTCTGGACTCCAGCCACCACTCTGGGCTGTGCCCAGGGATTTCTCCAGGCATGAGCCTTGTTCCCTGACAGTCCTAGGGCTGTGCCTGCTTGGGGATTAAACCCTTTCCTCTCCCAAGCATCTGGTCTGTGGTAATCTCTGCCCTGTCAGGAGGTGTGTTTCAGGAAGAGCCATCTGGGATGCCCCATCAGCTCCCCCTTCCGAGTAAGTTGTAGAGCAAGATCCCTCACAGCAGAAACGACCGTGCAGAAGCCCAAGTCGGGGCTGTACCTGCTGTTTTCACAATTATTCATTTATGTTGATCAACGCATCCCAGTTACTTCTTTGCAGCTGTGTATCACACATCCCTTGTGTTACCTAGGCTGCTGATCCAGCCCCAGATTTCCCAGGTGGCCAGGGGGTGATCCAGGACCAATCCCTGAGCTCAGCCCCACAAGAAGCCATTTCCCTGGGGATCCATCTCCGGAGGGGCAGGGCTGCAGCCAGGAAGCCCGTTACTGGAGGACCCACAACCCTCCTGCTGCAGCAGTTAGGTCCCGCTGAGCTGATTCGAACCAAGGCAAGTTGATCCACAGCTGTGCCACAGCTGCCTGCCCTGCTCTGGTGGGGGACAAGTGCCTGGGCCCCTGCAGCAACAGGCAGAGGCACTGAGAGCTTCCAGAACAGCCAGGGTCTGGGTTCCCGTGAGGGTTCAGGGGGCTGGGAAGCACCTGCCCAGCTGGAGCAGCAGCACAGGGAGCAGGCGGTGGGGCCAGTCCCAAGATGGGTTGGAAGGACTTGGTGCTTGTCTCCTGGGGAGAGTGTGGGGTCCAGCAGCTCCATCGCACAGCCCCTGCCCAACCCAGCTTCCCTTATCAGGGCCCTGTGGGAAGCCAGGGCTCTGAACAGGTCTGCACTTACAGGGGCTCAGGGTGACATGTGGCCCAGGTTCTGACAGAAGGTGGGACCTTCGTGGTCTGCGTGGTGACACGGAGCACCGTAAAGAAGGCCAGGGAGCTGAAGCAGAGGGAAGCAGAGGTTGTGTAGGCAGATCAGGATGATGGTCACTGGAGCTGGCCTTGGCAGGTGCTTATGGAGCCTTTGTTGTGATTAACTGCTGGGAGCACTGCAGCAGAGAAGGAAGTCACACAGGTACCAGTGCTTACTTTAACTGGGACATGTGGAATGGCCTGGGGGCAAGGGGTCAAGGGACAGCCACATGGCATCAGGGTGGGAGTCATGGGGAAGCTCTTGGTGCAGCCTCCCCAGCCATGACAGTTCAAGTGCTCAGTCCAGAAACGTCCCAAGGCCTCAGAAACAAACCAGGTCCCAGGCCTTGCAAAGCCAGAACGAGTTCCCTGTTCCTCACAGTCAGAGATCACTGCCTGGGAGTCAGAGTAGCAGGAGTGGTAACCTCAGCTCCACAGAGCCTTCCCGGGGCTGAGCCATGCCTGTCACTGCCTGCAGTCATGTAATTCTCATGGGTGCAAGTTACTCTGTGGGGAGTTACCCATGTTCATGGGTACAAGTTTCTCCTGGGGAGGTATTTTTCTCTTTTCCCTTTAGTTTTATGTCTCTCCTTGTATTATATTGTACTTTAGTTATTAAACTGTCCTTATCTCAACCCGCGGGTTTTACATTCCTGATTCTCCTACCCCTCTCACCCAGGGAAGGGGCACGTAGGGGTGAGCAAGTGGCTGCTGGTGCTGAGTTGCTGCCTGTGTTTAAACCACAAGACCGTTCAGACCAGTGCACCCAGGACAAGAGGACAGGCTGTGCAGCTGCAGGCAGGTAAGAAGTGCTGCTGCTGCACACTGCCTTTGGGAGGGAGTTGTTCAGTGACTCTGGGTGTTTTCACCGTGATAGGTTTATGGTGGCAGCTTTTTTCCCAGGATCACCCTCTTTCCCAAGAGGCAAACACTGGGGTTTGTTTCTTCATAGACCAGGCTCAGGCAGTGTAGCCAACCCTGGCAAGGCAGAGCACTGCCCTGGAAGGGGGAATGCAGTGACATCCTGCACCAGGTAATGTCATAGCTGAGCCCACCTCCTCCCACCAGCCAGCTCCCAGCTCTGGACTGGCCTTTAGGTTCCTAGAGCCCCCATGAGTTGAGTAAAACATTCTCCAACTCAAGACTCACTTAAAAGGCTCTTTTAGCCCCCCCCGCCCACCACACCCCTCAAGGTACTGCTTGATTAGAGGTCTGGACCCTGGCAGCCTTTGCTTGTGCTTACAGTCAGTAACAACCACGAGAGGGGCTCAGGATACTGAGCCCTACCCACTCCTGTCCGAGAGGAGACCTTCTTTCCTGTTCCTGGCAGAGGGAAGGGGGTGACAGACAAGGTTGGAGGAGTAGACAAGGCAGCAAGGCACAACAGGTGTTAAATATCTTTATGAAGTCAATCTTATTTACATGGATACAGAATCACTTTACAGACAGTTTAATCAGGAGGCAACGCGTGCTTTATTTCAGCAAATTAAGATGGGAAAGACTATGACATGTCCTTGTTTAAGTGGTCGATTAGTATGTGGGCTGGTGGTACCTGCACGGTGTAACTAACAACAGCGAGCTACAGCAACCATGAAAACACTCACTGCACGAGCTCCACCACCTGGAAGGAGCAATCCACTTCACTTGCATTCTCACACATGTAGGAACGACGACTCTTTGACCAATCATTTATGTTATGGGGGTTGTGCTAATGTAATAAAAGCCTTTGTCCCAGACTGGCAAAGGGCTCAGTGATAAACTCGCACCCCTTCAGAAGTGACAGCAGTTGTGTAGTACTTATTGAGGGAAGGAACCTGAGGCAATGGGCAGATTCTGTCCCTGCTCTTTGTCCAAATAATCAGCAGGACTAAGAAACCCCCTGGCGGCTGAGGGAGTCAGGTCAGCAGAGCTCCAACCAGCCCCAGGGAGATCCCGCTTCGAGGGCTGTGCGAGACAGGGAGGAGGGCTGTCATGAAGACAGGGTTAAACCTCACCGACCCACCAAGTCTCCTGGGAGAAGATAAGTAGCACTAAGCTCTCCAAACACATGGAGCATTCAGCAGGGCACCTGAGTGAGCAGCAGCCATCCCAGGCTCCCTACAGCAAACTGCTCTGCTCTCTGCAGGAAGGACACAATTTTTATTTCACATTCCACTGGTTTGGATTCTAAATAATATTTCAATTTTAATTTTTACCCGATAAGCTTCCAGCAGCAGTGGGGACTGTGGAGCAACCTCAGAGAGAGCACTGCATTTCTGCAAAGCTGGTATTTTCCTTCATTACCATGTCCTAGGATGGTGGGTGGGTTTTCTATCATGATGGCTGTTGGTGCCTCAGTGGTGCGTTGCCTCTCCAGCTGGGATTCTCACTATGCCACTGACAACCTTTGCTCTCCAGAGCCCACTGCCAGAAGAATTCAGCCCCAACTGCAAAGATGATTTGCTGCTGGATCTTAGCTTCCAGTAGAACGCTTCCCTGTCGTTGAAGCAAGAGAGAAGTTCAGTGTTTCCTGAGCACATCAGTCCCTGCAGCCCACGTGGTGAGCACACCTCCCGCCTGACCCATCACGCTGTCAGCCATGCACAGCAGACACATTTGATGTCTGCAGTGCCAGGAAGCCAAGCCCTGGAATCCAAGACACTGGTGTCTGTCAAGGATGATTTCAAGCCTGCAGCGCTCCTTCACAGCAGGCTAACACCAACTAACTGGCACCCTGAGATGTAACACTGTACTCATTTGTGTGGAGGGAGCTTGAATGTGGTTTGTGACAAAGACTGATGCCTTCCTGGTGCTGTAAGCCTGTGGTGGGTTGAGTCCAGCCTGAGCATTCCAGCACCAGAGGCTCTGCAGGACCCATGCACGTGCCAGCAAGCTCGGGCTCTGCAGTGACAGAACAGCCCATTCCAGGTAACAGGAGCACCCTTGGTGCTTTGAACTGCGTACAGCTACTGAGTGGATGAGGAAGCAGAGCTGCAGGGTAGGCCAGCAGCCTCCCTGAAGATGCACCCAGTATTTTTGCTGCACCAACGATATGCTTTAGTCCCTGGCTTTTTGCTCCAGGTCCCAGGGGACAGCTAGGGCTCTTCACACAAGTGGCTGGAAGGCCTGAGGCTAAGTGAGAAGCAATGCTGTGCTTTTGCTGCTTCTACCTCCCAAGAAGTGCAAGTTCTGCTTAGTGGTGGTGGCAGTAAGATGACAATGAAACACAAGAGGCCTCCTACCTCAGATAGGGTGTCAGGAGCTAAACATTTTCTTAAGTTTGGAAAGGAATCCCTCCTTGTTCTCCTCAGCCTCAGGCCTATCCCCGCCTGCGTCAGCGCTAGCCGTGGCCCTGCCACCTGGACACAAACAGCAAAGGGCTGCAGTCAGATAAATCTCTCACCAGCAGCCAGCACCCCGGACAAAGCAAGAGGGTTATTTTAGACAGGGAATGGTCAAGTCAAGGCAGCTGGTTTCGCCTGTGTCCGTGAGTAAACGGCTGCAGCAGGACACTTACAGTGAGAGACAGACACTTAAGAGCGCTGGAAAGCCTGGACCCCAGAAGTGGAAAGGATGACTGTGAGCCCAGGTAACACCGTTGCCTTTCCCTCTCCCCAGCCTTCCAACTGGCAAGGGAATCTTCCTGCTGCCTATGAAGTCAGGGACCCCACAGGCTTTGGAAACGAGCATGTGGAATTAAGATTCTGCCACTAAAACCAGGTTGTTAACTTGACCACAGCCAGCCATCACTTTACAGGGAAGAAAAACTGTATTGGCAGTTCCTGGAACAATCTCTCTTCCTGTTTCATGGTCATGTTGTGACCCTTGAGAGCAAAGCAGTGCAAAACCATACTGGGAACCTGCTTCATGTAATAACAAGCAATGCTCTGACAAACAAGGAGGAAATGAACTCAGGCTAGCACGGAAAAGGCTACAAGTATTTCAGATCAAGTGTCTGGATAAGGAATCTTACTGGCAGCAGTGAGCATAATTTTCCTGTATAAACAGGTCCCAAGAAGTCATTTGTCCCTTGAGAAGTGTCTACAGCAAGAACAAAGGAGACCTCATGGCTAATCTGCTTTTTCTGTGGCAAAACTGTCAACAAGACCCCTAAATCCTCCCCAAGCTTTCTTTGTGCACAGAGAACACAAAGTCCAATCCTCCCCACCCTCCCACAGTTGACTGCAAAGCTCAAACTGATGCAATGCTATGAAATATTAAGGCTAGTGACAGAACACGCCTCCATCCATCCACTCGGGGTATTTCTGCTGCCCAGAGGAAGAACGTGCTTTCAGCAACAGCCTGTCTCTGTACCACAAACTACTGGCAGTGTTTTTAATCCACCTTGCTGCTTAATTGTGGTAAAAATTGGCAGGTTTGCTGTTTAAAAAACAAGTCTGGAGAGCTTTTTTTTTTTATCCTTTGGCACATAAATGCCTTTAGAAAGCTGGAATGAAAGTGTTATGCTTGGAGATCTCTCACCTTCCCCCTCAGGCTGACCTTTAATGCTTACCCTCAGCGGAAAAGACCTAACTTCTTGTTAGGAAAGCACTATAAAACATCACATCAGTAAGTATTTAGCAGATACTGCCTTCTAATGTTCTGAACTTCAGCCTTTAGTCCTCAGGCTTTGCCACATGTAGTAGAGAAGACCCATGTTCCTGGGATCAATCGGCAGCTCCTGAGAGGCTCTTGCCTTTGCCTTTACACAGTCATAAATACCCTTTTGGGTTTGAAGCACAGAAAGAAATCCAATGGACTTTGTAAAGTTCACTGTTCCGATATGAGCAAAGAAAAAAAGTACTTTCCACTACTGAAAGACAAAGCTCTTGCCTTACTATTTTACCACGTTTTATCTTTAGCTGCTACAGATGCCAGGTATCTCACCCCTGACGTTCAAAACACAACAGCTGAACCAAAACTTTTAATCTGAGAACAAAGCAGCTTTACAATGCTCCCAGATGACTTTGCTCCCTTCCATCATGCTGGACGCTGTCAACTGACTGGAGCCAATGTTCAGCACCAATGAACATTTCTACCCTACTGTCCCCCACGTGCATTGAACATGGCTTCGAGCAGCCTGGACAGCAGTGCTCCCCTTTGGCTTTCAAGGAGAAACATCCCTGCTGCAGTCAGAAGCACAATGGATTAGGTCACACAAACTGGCCTGAAGCATGCTCTCTTTTCCTACCTGTGCTACTAAGACAAGTTACTTCTGGCCCAGGGGCCAAAGCAGGGAGTGGAAGGCATTCATCACCACAGTAAGACTCCACAACTCATCAGGACCCGGGAGTATCTCAATCTGTGGCTCTCTTCAGCTACAGATTTGTCCAGGAAGTATCTGAGTAACGCTGTCTGGGAAGAGGGAATCTCCTTGCTTTGTGTTACATCAAACTGAAACCATTTCCAAAGTAACATCCTCGACAGGTTGTGCTGATGCAGTCTCAAGGTTACCCTGGCTCACCTTCCTCCCCAGGAACCCTCCAGAAGCACTCTGCACTCCCACACCAACTCCTCAAGAAAAAGCACCAACTGCCACCACTCACCTGACGCTGTGTTTGTGACCCCATTCACTGTGCCCTCCACATCTGCCTCATCCTCGGCGTAGCTCATCATTAAGGCTCGCTGGCGATCCGTCAGCCTCCTGCAGGTCCAACACAGAGGAGTGGTTACAACTGTCTTAAGGGCCAAATGTATCTAAAGCTCTCTTTAACCTTCTCCAGCAGCACACATGAGAGGCAGCTACTGGAAGTATAAGAGGAGTACACCTGGCATACACCGAGAATCCCTACAGAGCTCTTAAAATGAATGATCTAGAAAGAATAAGAGTGGAAGAGGAGAGACATGACTCACTGCATTTCATCAAACTACAGTGAAAAATCAAAGTATTTCCAAGTGCTGAGAAGTGGAGCTGCAAGAGAACACAAATCTGGTGAGGAGGCCTCAGGAAATGAACTCCAAGTGCAGCAATACAAGGTGAACTGCTTCCTCCACCCCAGGAGCCAAGGGTGTACTTCTGCATTTCCAGGGTGTAGGATTTTTAGAGCTGGGTTGCCAAATGGTCTTATAAAAAAACCCAAGAAGTTTACCTCACATTAGAATTCATAGCACAGAAAAATTAAGGATCTTGACAAAGCAGGATGGAATTTTGCCAAAATCTTTCTGGACAATGTTTTGGGTTTGGTTTTTTTAATGTTTGGTTCCTCCTACCCCAAAAAAAGAGTTCAAGACTTCACAGAAACTTGTATTAGCTCTACTTACTGAGGAACTTTTATCTTTATGTGAATGTAGTGATCTCCGTAGCCATAACTGTTAACCCTGGGAATGCCTTTCCCACTCATTCGAATTCTCTGGTCCGGCTGAATACCAGGGGGTATCTATGAACACAGAGATGTCATATTTATTACTCCAGTTTAACCATTTCATAATAATTGCATTACATGTCTATTAAAAACAAACTGCTGCTCCAGCAAGCTTCAAAGCAGGACAGATCTGGTACATTCACGCATCTGGACACATTGAGAAGCCAAGTCAGTAATGATGGAAAAGCTTTTAAAGGAATGAGTAAAGAACCTTGCATGGCCTGTAGACCTTGGCTGGGATTTCTCCAGCAATCCACCCGGCTCTTCCTCTCCTGTCCCTACCACAGAAAGGAGGTGAGAGCAAGCAGGTCACACACTACTTGACGCTCAATCCTGACCAAGTCTGTAATGTGACACTGGCAGACCTAGAACATCCATGCCACCTCTGCAACAAAGGAGTGTCTGCTGTCCCACACCGATTTATGCCCAACCTCTTCCACGTAACAGTACTTACTGTGATATTGATTGTCTCATACAAGCCTTGACATCTGGCTGTACCTCCCAGGACAGCCTGCGCTATTGAAATGAGGAGATCCGAATGGACATCTGCTCCATTTCTTCTGAACACAGAACTTTTCTGAACCTAAAAGGCAGGCAGTTCCAAAAAGAAGTGAGCACACCACCACAAAGTTCTCATGGTATACTGCTTTGAGGGTTCTCTGAAGGAAACATACCAGAACACTGCAGTCAGACCCTCTACCATCCACAAACTACACGGCTCAGAAGTGTAAGTTACTGTTCAGTCTTTTAGACTCACACAGATCTTGACATAGCCATGACTACCCAGAGGCTTAGGAGGATGCCTGCTTCCCAGCTCAGCAATTCCCTCCCCCAATCCTGTTGTTAATTTATTAGTGTCAGTATGATTCTGTGGAGATTGAGAAGACACTGCCTTAACCACTACCTAAACAGGGGAGAGCCAGACGACAAGAGGGAGGCAAGCACCTCTGAAGTGGCCTTACAAGCTGGAAAAGAATTAAATCCTCCACCACCACTAAAAAGGAGCTGAAAAAAATTTTCTCCTTGATAGAGATGCATATGACAGGACAACTACAGGAGAAGAGGTGCCCCAGGTACAGAACACGTGCAAATGCCTCTCATGGGCATTCCTTCAGCCCTCCTCAGCACTCCCAGCCCTGCAAGTGGACAGCTCCTGCACACTGCCAAGTCAAAGACTCAAGGCATCAGGAACCTACTCTGCATTTTGATGCCGCTACTGTAAGGGCCTTGTCCTGGAACAAGCAGCACAATTCTTCACAAGCAGAGTGAACCTTACACCACTGGTTACAATGCAGATCTGCTATCTCAGAAGTTCACGTGGATCATGTTACTTCAGCTGTTTCAAAGCATCACTCACTCTTCCTTCTCCACGCCCCATTCAGACAGTTAACAGGCAACCAGCTTAATAATGAAAACAGCTGATGGTATGTACCCTGAACGTAATGAAGATCTCTTTCCTCCCCACAGGCAACCGAACTGTCTGCCCGTCCTCAACACCTGCAATCAGGAAGAAAAGAGGGAATGTTACTTTACGTTACAATCTATGTGTTACAACTGTACCTACAGCTCTTGAATCCCCAAAAGGCAGCCACGACACCAGCACCCACACATCCAGCTCAAGGTACACAATCTACCAGAGAGCAGCACAATAACGCTCTCCACAGGAGCCCAGGAGCTGTGGCCCAAGGAAGGAGGTGTCAGCACATGTTTCTAACCCCAACAATTGCTACATCCCAAACAGGTTCCTTATTTCAACCTCTACAGAATTCTTCAGGGAAATGCAACAGATTAAGGACCATGGCAGCCTCCATGAGCTGCAGGAAAATTATACCCTGCTCACTCAGGGCAGTCTCAGAGAACCAAGTCTTCAGCCCCACTCTCTGGTGAGGAAGGCCATCAGCATACCTTCCTGAGCCAAGCTAAGGCTTTCAAGATTCCCACCCTCTCCCCAAGCCTCAAAGGACAAATGAAAACCCCAAGAAATGAAACTTTTTGAGAGTTTTGCTCTTCAAAGCCTGCCTAGAAGGACCCATGCGAGAACCAAAACTTTGCCTCAGGAAGGGCAAAGCAAACATTTATATCCATGGCCAGAAAGTTCATCTCATTACCAGCCCTTTCAGCTGCCAAGTTATCAACCTTCTTTGTTCTTTAGGTAACTTCTCTGCAGCAAAACTTCTCCCATTGCTCTAGCAGGGACCAGCCAAGCTTCGGAGGTAAGCGGCTTGCTCTTGACCAAGTGGAAGGAAATAACTAGTAGTTAACAAAGAGCAGTGTACAAGCACAGCACTAACCAGCTGGCACAGGGACCATCACTGTCTTCTTCTGTTTGGTTTGTCCAGTTCCTCGACATACTACACATGGCGTGGTTATGATGGAACCGCGACCGCCGCACCGTCGGCACGTAGATCGCATTACAAAAGGGCCAGTGTTTATTGTCTCCTGGTGAAGAAAACAATTGTACAAATATTTAGTACCCAGATGGTACTTTTCACTTCCACAACACGCTGCCAGTGCCTGGCCCAGCACATCCAAGTCCTCCTAATCGCACATGCAACCTGACAGACACTGACATCCTTCAGCAAGGGGTGGAGCAGAAAAACAGCTCACAGACCCAAAGAGGATGCTGCTTGTGAGAAGCTGCGTGAGATCCAATTGCTGTCATTTTCTGATCTCCACTGAAAACCATCACTACTATGCGCAAATGCCTCATGGCAAAGGGAAGGGAAACACAACACTTTACATCTTTAAGCTTTAATGTGCAAGAAGGACCAGTACTCCTGCCAGCACTATTTCACAGGGAACTACAAGCATCTGTATTCTGAGGAATCAAAGGACAGTCCACTTGCATAAATTATTGTCAGTGACCAGGAAAATGTTACGGAGACTAAGCTACAGACTGCACTGTGAAAGCTACCCACCAGACTGGAGCACAGGAGGAAACGGTGGGAAGAGCTTGCAGCCACTCTGACCAACTACAGTTGCTCTGTGCACAAAGGTATTCTGGTCACAGAGCGACTGCCAGTGGCAGTGTGTGGAAATTAAAAGCCTGAAGCCTGATCATTACTTACTGTTAGTAACACGAATCTTACTATTTCACAATCACCCTGAGGCTATCATCGCCTTCCTCCCTCCCCCACCCCTCAGTTTCCCATTTAATGTCTAAATAATTTCAGAACTGTTACATTCTATAATGCGGTTTGCTGGATGTGTGATACCAGATGCTGTAGCCTTAACAGCTAGTGCTGTTAGCTGGGCAAAGCTCTTTTTCAATACAAAGATCTTCCTAGTGCCTATTAACATCAAGTCCATATTAATTCGGCTTTGCCCAAGATAACCTGATGACTGTAGAGAGATTTTTTCACTGTGGAAGGGACTGACCTGCCCCCAGAAGGAAAAGCACAGCAAAATTCATATCTTAAGTACTTACCATGCCAGTGCCATTGCAGTAGTGACAGTGCTGTGCTTTGGTACCAGGCTCATGTCCTTTCCCATGGCATCGCTCACAGGAGTCATTGATGTTCACCACAATCTCCTTGTTAACACCTTTTGCAGCTTGGGTGAATGTCAGTTCCATGATATACTGTACAGGAAACACAGACACTGATCTACAACTGGTGTGTGATGGGGTTTTAAGAAGATTGAAATTGGTTTAGGCCAAATATAAAATCATGCTTAAAATACACCCAGGTAACAGACGGGAAAGAAACAGGTGGGGACACAACTCGTTTGAGGGTTCACCTCGTTTGAGGAAACAATAATCTGTCTCACAGAAATGAAAAGGGCACAGAATGGTAGCAGATATTATAGGAATGATGGTTACACCAGTCTGATGAACAATTGTATAGCAGAAATGCAATTTAAAAATACCAAAGAAAGTAAAAGTCAAGTGTTATTCTGCTCTCAGGAAAACCCTTACTATTTCTAAAGGTTTTATTTCATGGAAATGCAGCAACAGGTGATGGTGAAGGGTTTCAACCCCAACGACAGCATCTGATCTTCCTCAATAAACTCTTTACTCACCAAGGGAAGTCATCAGCAAAGATGACTGCACAGAATAGGAAATTCTGTTCAGAATTAAAAGGTCATTTTTAGTGAAGCAATTCCCAAGCATTTCTGAAGGCAGCACATCAACTGTCAACACCTAAAAGAGTGCTAAGCTGCAGTACAAAGAAGACACAGGTTTGGTTTTATTGTGGGCTCCACTGCAAAGCTGAGCCAATTAAGTTGCAAAATGAAGCCAATTAAGCAGCCAAACCTAATGCTGGAAGGCTTGGTTTATAGTTAAAAGGAATTTTGTGGTTTTTAGGATTACAGATCAAAGCAGATGTGTAAATCACTGTACAGCAGAAAAGATGCCTCTGCAACAGTGGAATTGTTCGGCAGCACCAACTGGTGTCAGGAAACACCAGATGAAGTGGCTCAAGTACAGAAAAGAATACTCTATCTAGAGGTGTGGAGAATGTACCTACACAGCTTATCAAAATACGTGACTCCCTCCCCAAACAACGGGATGCTCGCATGCTGACATTTCCAGAAGCAAATTCTTTGTTTAAGCTTGCTCTGGGAGCCATCTATGACAGATCTGTCCCTCTCCAGCTTCTGAAGTTTTAATTTCTCCTTTTCATTACTCAGCAAATAAACCCATTTGATACCTCCTGTGGCTGGTCAAAGACACTCTGAAAATCGCCAAAAGGGGATCCTGAAAACTCTCCAAAGATTTTCCTGAAGAGCTCCTCGGGATCGATGGACGGACCGCTGCTCCAGTACTGCCGCCCCGCGCTGGCGCCCGTTGCCCCAGGGTCAAAACTGGCCGTGCCGTATGCATCGTACTGCTTCCGCTTCACTTCATCACTTAACACCTTGGAGGCAAAGAATGATGCCATCAGGACACTGTGCAGATCCACAGTAGCCAAGCAGTCTGTAGCTGCACAGCAGCATCTCTTGGGAGAATCCAAGGCTCCCAGCCTCACTGCCACAAGCCCTCCACGCTCTCAGACCTTGTCATGAGAGGGCTAGCCCAAAAGCACATGAATAACCAAGCAGCTGCTTCTGCCCTGGTGCCTCTCAGCTCAGCATCAGAACGACACGGTCTTGCTGATCTATAATAAATAACTGATGTTATAGAATTGATTATTAGTGTATTGGATGAAAGCTGGTGAGTGCTGGGGTAGATCTGAAAATCCAAGAGGACAAAAATTGGCATAAGAACAAGTTGAAGATCAAGGAGAGACGGGGCTAGGGGAGAACAGTGAAGAACTACTGTGTCAAACAGCCAG